GGGGGTGATTTTGGAGAGGTTTTGGGCCTTGGAGGCAGGGGTTTTGGGAGGTGGAGGAGTTTTGGGACTTGGAGTCAGAGGGGTCTTGGGATGTGGAGGAGTTTTGGTTTTTCTAAGTTGGAGTTGAGTAAGCCAGCGCGATTCATAGAGTGCGGTCAAACCTCATAAATGGGCAGTTGGCAGGTGCTCTCTCTGGTATGGTTTGGTCTTTCTGTCTTCTTGTCAAACATCAAACATCTGTGGTTCTAATCTCCCCTCCTTTTTTGTTTTTGTTCCTCCCTCTTTTAACACCTCTAAACTTGGCCTCTAATGTGACCTTGTTGTGTTGCAAGTGTGGTAAACTCATTAAAACCTCGCTATACTTTTACCGATAAAAAAATCTTAAACTGCCCCGCGGTTTTATGCACCCCGCATAATTTAGCAAAATTTGATCGTTTTTTACAGAAATTCTGATTATTTTCCTTCATCAATCTTTGTTAAAATTAACAGAATCTCATAATTTCACATTTTTGGGCTCATTTTGCATAATTTCAAAAAATTTTTTTGCATAAAACGACAGGGAGAGCTTAAAATTGAATCCTCTTCCCCCTTTGTAATTTGTAGTCTTCCACTTCTTTCTTATGGTAAATGTCACTGTGTATAGTTGTATAGTGACATTTCTTTCTTATAAATGTCACCTTTTTTTTATAGTTGTAGTGACATTTCTTTCTTACAAATGTCACTTTTTATAGTTGTATATAGTGACATTTCTTTCTTTCAAATGTCACCTTTTATAGTTGTATATAGTGACATTTCTTTCTTACAAATGTCACCTTTTATAGTTGTAGAGTGACATTTCTTTCTTTCAAATGTCACCTTTTATAGTTGTATATAGTGACATTTCTTTCTTATAAATGTCACCTTTTATAGTTGTAGAGTGACATTTCTTTCTTACAAATGTCACCTTTTATAGTTGTAGGCCTATATAGTGACATTTCTTTGTTTTTTTATTAACATTTTTCAACCCCCTGGGCGGTGCCACTGACTGTAGTGTCTTTAGGCTATTCCCAAAGGGGGGACTTTTGTCGTTCTAATGCACAGTAGAATCGTAAATGGGCTGACCCAACATTGTCATGCTCATAACTGTACCTGATCTACAACAGGGAACTGCTGCTTTTTCTTTCCTAATCATTACTATCGTCAGTTTCCTCTACTTCTTTTGTACGTTTGTCACTTTCTTGTGACCAGCTATTTCCGTTGTGCCTTGATAGTCGAAGCAGACCTTGTGCTGTTGAAGAGCTAGAGAGGTGAGCAGAGTAAGTCTGATTCCCTGTAAAGACTTCTCTGTTGACATCCACCCTTTGGCGCTCATACCCATATGACCATAAGCAGTTGCGAGTGCCGTAAAACCTCTACTAACCCCCCCCCCCAATATTTTCTCCTCAGGATGAGGACATTGGGAGTCACATACAAAAGGTTCTGAGACCAGTCTGATCCGGATGCTTCCTGTGCCTTCTGTAAGAAATTGAAACTGAAAATTAAAAACTGTACAGATCAATCTGGTTCTTTGTTTGATTTATCGTACGTTTTTATGTGTGTGTGTGTGTACATAATATATTATATAGGCCTATAATATAATATATATATATATATATATATATATATTACCCATCTATCTTTAATAAAAGTCGAGATATGTCGGATTGAAGGAGGTGGGGGTTGTCTGGTTTCAGGGGTAAAATAAGCGAGAAAATGGTCGTGAAATTTTGGTGACCTCCAAAGCTTGGGAGTAGGCCTACTTGGAAACCCAAAATTTATATTTTTTTTAGTGTTTATTCGATGTTTTTCAGTAAAATCCACACAGATGTGTTTTCGAATGGACATGAAAGGTCTTCAGCCCCCCAAAAATTATTTGATAAAAATTTCCAAGCCCAAGCAAAAATGCCAGAATCTTGGACGATTTCACTTCGACTTTCGATGCCTCATTTTTTTTTTCTGACCTCATGGTCTTGGTAAAATAACTCAAAAACAATTTTTTTTAAAATGTCAGAAGTTTGTAATTCTAATTCTAAGGTAGCGATCTGTCTTCCGTACCCTCAGCCGGGATTGGTCCAGACCTTAGACATGCTTACGATTATTATTGTTTACATTGCTGCTCATTTATATTTATGCATGTGATTGTAAGCCTACATGTGTGTGCATGTGTGTGTGTGTGTGTGTGTGTGTGTGTGTGTGTGTGTGTGTGTACACATGGTGAAACACCAAACCAATGTGCCAGGATCTGGACAATAAAGATGTATCTTATCTTATCTTATGCTCGCTTGAAACATCCTGCCTTGTAAGTTGTTTATTTAATAGGGGGGGGGGGTGCCTATTGAGGGATTGGGTCTGGTCGGGGCGGTTTGCCCGCCAGATTGAGGGCGTAAAGCGGCTATTGTCATAATCATGGCACAAGCCAATCGGTCGCGCCCGACTCGACAACTCGAAAACAAACGCGTTTATTTTCAGGCGAGGAGTGGGGCGATCGAGACCGGCCGGATGAGTGTATGGTATGTGATACAGATTCTGTAAGGCTCTCAAATTCCTGACTGCCGAATCCAAGACAGAGGTTCCGAGAAAACCAGGACAGTTCGCTACCACGGGATTATTAAGTTCTATCTTACATTTTTGGCCGTTTTGAGATACATTAAGACCATGAGATAAAAAAAACGAAATGTTCTATCTGCTCTATGAAAATCGTACAATTATTCGGAGTAGTTACAAAGATATTCAAAGAATTGCATTCATTAAAGCCTGACATGATCGATGTGAAACTCAAAATCTTTGACGTCAAATTTCTCAAAACTAGGTAGGCCTACTTAGCAGATAGAACTTTGTAATTTCCGAGGTAGTGGGTTGATAAGCTGAAACACAGGATTGTAAACCAATTCCAATCCATTCTCCGTGCAGCTTGTACCGTACTACAAGACGACACAAGTTGTCCAGTGCTAGATAATCAAACAATAACCATCACAGATTGAAAGCAATACACGACTGTTTGCACTGCACTCTGAAAGA